ACGCTACAGTCAGGGGTGTATAAACACTGACAGTCACACACACTCAGTGACAAACACACAGACATCTCTGACAGCCAGACTCACTTATCTGACACACTCATTCATTGACAGACACTCACACGCACACTGACGGGCACACAAACACTGACAGACTCATTGACAAACACACACTGACACACACACACACACACAAACTCACAGATACTGACAGACACGTAGTCACATGCACACACGCACATACTGACAGACACACTCCCACACACTGACAGACACACATACTCACACACACTCACTCACACACACCGACAGACACACATACTCACACACACTGACAGACACACATACACACTGACAGACACACACACACACTGACAGACACACACACTCACACACTGACAGACACACATACTCACACACTGACAGACACTCACTCACACACATACACTGACAGAACCATACAAACTGACAGACACGTACTCACATGCACACACGCACATACTGACACACACATACTCACACACACTCACTCACACACACCGACAGACACACATACTCACACACACTGACAGACACACATACTCACACACACTGACAGACACACACACTCACACCCTGACAGACACACATACTCACACACTGACAGACTCACTCACACACATACACTGACAGAACCATACAAACTCACAGACATTGACAGACCCGTACTCACATGCACACACGCACACACTGACAGACACACACACTCACTCACACACACTGACATACACACACTCACACACTGACAGACACACACACTCACTCACACACACTGACAGACACACACACTCAGAAACACACTGACAGACACACATACTCACATGCGCACACACACACTCACAGTAATTAATAATCTAAATTAAATTAAAATTTCCCACCCAGCCTCCCTACCTGGAGAGCTGGCGTGGGTCTCTCATTGGTGGTCCAGTGGGGCTGCTGGGAGGCGTGCGGCTGAATTGGATGCCGAGGGAGCTCTGATCTCTCTGATCTGCTCCCTCGCAGGCTGTTTACTGCTGCCGCGGGAGCCGGAATATGACGTCATCAGTAAACAGCCTGCGAGGGAGCACATCAGAGAGATCAGAGCTCCCTCGGCATCCAAATAAGCCGCACGCCGCGCCGGGGATCCAGGAGGTGACCTGGCAGGAGGGAGCACTTCCCTCCTGCCGGTCACTGGAATTTTGCGCCCCCAGAGCCGGTGCGCCCTAAGGCGGCCGCCTGTGCCGCCTTATGGACGCGCCGGCCCTGTATATACTAATATAAAATTTCTAATTGATTATCCATGTTTTCTGGACATCCATTTATTACCATTGCCTTTCACTTATTTCTGTTCTTTTCAGTGGGACCCTCTTCTACAAGATTGGACATATTGGAATTCTCCGTTCTTCGGCTCTATCTACTATTATCAAGTGTTTGCAAAGTTCACATTGTGGCTCCTGATTTTGTAACTAACTTTTAACCCCTTAACCCCTTAAGGACCGAGGACGGTTCAGGACCGTCATCGGCATTTTTGCCTTGAGGACCGATGACGGTCCTGAACCGTCCAAACGGTCTGGGGCTACTTACCTGATCGCCGTCGTTCCCCCGGCGGCGATCAGTGTTCCTCCGGTTGTGGGGAGACTGCCTGCAGCCCAGACAGTCTCCCCTTATCGGTGATTAGGGACTCCTGTGGCCATGTGATCGCTAACACAGCGCATCACATGGTCACAATAGGTGTCCATATAAAAGCAGCCTGCAGGGGACTGCCTGTACTGTATGGTAAGTGTGCCCCCTGCAACTGTAAAATCAAAAAAAAAAATTAAAGTTAATGGTAATAAAAAATACATGTAATTATATATATAAATATGATATATAGACATATATTATATCTATATAATATATGTCTATATATATCATATATATAATGTATACTATGTATTTTTATATTAATATGTACTTACATTAATATAAAAATACACTTATAATTAAATTACACATGTATATATATAATATCTATATATATTGTATATATATATTATTATAAAATATAAATAAGTAATTTAAATTAAATAAAAAAAATTTTAAATAATAAAAAATTAAAAAAAAATTATATAGTTATATGAAATTTTATTCTAACTGTATTTTAAAATTAATATATATATATTTATATCAAAATACACTTAGAATGAATTTGTATATATATCTATGTATATAAAAATAAATAAAAATAAGAAATATACATATGTCCATATACAAAATTACATAAATAATTATATAAATATACACGTAGACTTCAAATATATAAATATGCATATATATTTTAATTCTACGTGCGTATTTATGTAATATTTTTACATAATTCAGTAATTTTATTGATTGCAATTTGAGGGGACCTTGCCTGCCAACTCCAGGCCGTAAATTCAGAGAATTTAATTTTTTGTTAGCATTGTATTTTACCTCTGTAACGTTTCTATTTATTGCCTTAAAATTCTGTATAAAACAGATGGAACACAAACAGTTGCGGATTCAAAATATAAAAACATATCACAGCGATGATATTGTCAGTGAAAATGACTTTTTTTGCATTTTTCACACACAAACAGCACTTTTACTGATGATATAATTGTTGTGATACGTTTTCCAGTTTCTAAACACTAATATTTGTGTTCAGCGATGTCTCCCGAGTAAAACAGTACCCCCCATGTACAGGTTTTATAGCATTTTTGAAAGCTACAAGGTCAAATATATGGGTCAAATATTTTTACATTGAAAATGGCCAGGTTGGTTACGTTGCCTTTGAGAGCGTATGGTAGCCCAGGAATGAGAATTACCCCCATGATGGCATAAATACCATTTGTAGAAGATACAACCTGTTAGTAGTTATAAATAGTTCAGTCTTTTTTAGTAACCACTTGGTCACAAACACTGGCCAAAATTAGCGCTCAATTTAGTTTTTTTACTTTTTTCACACACAAACAAATATGAATGCTTACTTTGGCCAGTGTTTTCGACTAAGTGGCTACTAAAAAAGACTGGATATACCCCATATTGAATACCCTGGGTTGTCTACTTTAAAAAAAATATGTACATGTGGGGTGTTATTCAGAGATTTATGACAGATAATAGTGTTACAATGTCACTATTGATAAATTTTAAAAATGTATGTTTTGAAACCGCAATATCCTACTTGTACCTATAGCCCCATAACATGCAAAAAAAAGCAAAAAAGCACGTAAACACTAGGTATTTTTAAACTCAGGACAAAATTTTGAATCTATTTAGCAGTTTTTTTCATTCGCTTTTGTAGATGAGTAAAAGATTTTTCAAGTAAAAGTAAAAAAACATGTATTTTTTCAATTTTTCATCATATTTTTTTATTTTTTTTAAATTAAAATACATGAGATTATATAAATAATGGTATGTAAAGAAAGCCCCCTTTGTCCTGAAAAAAACAATATATAATTTGTATGGGAACAGTAAATGAGAAAGCGGAAAATTACAGCCAAACACAAACACCACAAAAGTGTAAAAATATGCCTGGTCGCAAATGTACAACAT